ACTTTGCTAATTTATCGAGTTTAAAGTGGTTGGACATTTCATATAGCTATATTGATTTGAATAAAGGTGATGACTGGATCCCTCCTTTTCAGCTTCATGGCCTCAATATGACCTTTTGCCAAATAGTGCCGAGGCCTCATTTTCCGAAATGGCTCCGATTGCAAACAACTCTTCGTGATTTATCTTTATCAAGTACAAGTATCAAAGAAAGGATTCCCAACTGGCTTCCTTCCTCTCTCGAGTATTTGGATCTTTCCAATAATGAGATTATCGATGATGTGCCACAATATCTTCCAAACCTGATGTATATGGATCTCTCAAACAACTCGCTCTCGGGCCACCTTCCTCCAAGAATCACAAACATCATGCCACATCTTCAGTATTTGGATCTCTCAAATAACTCATTCTCAAGCCAACTTCCTCTAAGAATCTCAAATACAATGCGATATTTATATTGGTTTGATTTATCTATGAATCATCTGAGTGGGAGCATCCCCTTGTCGTTTTGTCAAAAGAGGTTTTTGCAAGTGCTTCGACTTTCAAAAAATAATTTATCAGGAGAGCTTCCTAATTGCTGGAAAAATTCCTCAAGTTTGTTTATTTTGGACTTATCGAACAACAAATTCCAAGGAAGAATTCCTGACTCTCTCAGCAATTTGCAAAGCCTACAATCACTGCATCTGAGCAACAATAATTTAGTAGGGCAAATTCCTCTTTCTTTAAAAGGTTGTACAAATTTGGTTACTCTTGATTTGGCTTACAACAACTTCAACGGAAATATACCAGCTTGGATTGGGGAAAGCTTACCATACTTAAAGACTCTCAGCTTACGCTCGAATGCCCTCACCGGAAGAATTCCTGAACTATCTCATCTTACATCTCTTCAAATATTGGATCTCTCAAATAACAATCTTTCAGGAGCAATACCACATACCTTCAGCAACTTCAGTTCATTAAAGAGGTCTTCTTCTTCAAGTGATTTATATTTCAACAACTATAGCTACGACGATGAAATGTGGCTCTTCATAAAAGGGAGTGAACTCGAGTATACTACAAGACAGCTTTCATTTGATAAAGTTATTGATCTCTCCAACAATAGTTTATCTGGCTTTATTCCTGAGGAGTTGGGAAATCTACATGGATTACGGAGCTTGAATCTATCTAGAAATTACCTAACAGGGGAGATACCGAGCAACATTAATGGAATGCAACAATTAGAAATTCTTGATCTCTCCAGAAATAATTTGTCTGGAGCGATTCCTTCAACCTTGGCGGCGTTAAATTTCTTGAGTTATTTGAACTTGTCATATAACAATCTTTCAGGTAGAATTCCAACGGGTAGCCAATTACAAACGCTTACAGATCCATCAATCTATGCCGGCAATTCAGATCTTTGTGGCTCTCCTCTTGCCAAAATTTGTACAGATGATATGCCAACAGAAGGTAAAGAAGAAGAGGAAAATGAAAATTCTAAGGATAGACTTAAAAGTATTTGGCTATACATGTGCCGTGCAGTAGGATTTATCGTGGGATTTTGGACGATTTGTGGAAGCATCTTATTGAACTCGAGATGGAGGATTGCTTACTTCCGAGCTATTGATAGCATATGTGATAGGCTCTATGTGGTGCTGGTACTGAATGTGGCGATGTTCAAGAGGAAGCTACTGGTAGGGGGTCAAGTTGACTAAGCCGATGGGAGCGTTCACCATTAGTATCAGGCAGTATGTATTGGGCTCATGGTTTGCATGTTTTTTCATAATCCACTGGTGACATGATTTTAATTTTTGCAAGGACTATCGATTTGTCTTTCTGAATTCTCTTAGCATCAAAATTTTATTTCATCAAAGTATGAGTTCTCTGCGTATAGTCTATAAGCTCTAATTAACATTTAGCCAGCAGTATTGTTCGACTCTGTTTTTGCCGTAAGCTACACTGTGGCTTAGTTTATTGAATAGATTCTATTTGTCATGAATCATCTATGAAAATATGTAAAAGTATTCCACCATCTGTGATGTGTAACAACATTTGCATAACACATGACAAGAAATCTTCTCACTGAGTGTCACAATCTTTGCCGTAACACTAATTACAGGATTTATAGTACTCCACTCATAACAAGAAAAATCTTTCTAGTCTTAAGCCTCATTTTCACTTGTTGATTGGTCTATAGCTTATACACATCCTCCATTTTGGATTCTTTTATTTTCCTTTCCACCTCTGCTAAACACAAGACATTCATCACCGTACAGTGTCTTAACAGGAAAAGTTGAAGATAGAGTTCTGCATGATGAAGAGTTGGATTAGGATGCAGACCATGAACAAATTACTGACCAATTAAAAACTCATATTAAGCACCATGAGAGCCTCCACTGACATGGCACAGCCATTTTACCTTTGCTGCAAATCGAGACAGTTTAAATTTTTCAAAAAGAGAAAATAGAAGTCATATATACCAAAATGCTCAAAAGCATTAGACGAAACATGGCATGCTCATTAATTCCAGCACATATATAAAATGGATGAGAAAAATAAGTGCCAATACCGGCACACATGTGATGGCTGTAGCAGCAGGTGGAAAAACAAGGCGCAGTCCGTCCGTGGGGTACTTGTGATGGCATCCATGAAACAGATAATGAATTGTGTTTCCCCTGCATCATGCTTCTCAACAAGAAGCTAGAAGGTTACTTGCCAATAAGCAACTGGCGCAGTTCTCCATGACAATGAACCTATAAATTATTTTTATACAATAAAAGAAAAAAATTCCCTATAATGCATAACCCTTTATCAAATTTGTTTTATATCTACTAAGAGTGTCATTGACATTTGGCGTATTCAACAGCAAGGTGTCAATGCTAAACGAGAGCTGATTCTACATGCTGCTTACATAAAGTAAGAAGACCTGAAATGAGCCATCAGTTGGCAAACAAGTTAAGGTGGAAAAGCATTCTCTGAATGATTAAATGCAGACATATTAGTCTAATAATTTCCATTGTTCTTTCTGCGCAACAATTTGGCTGACCATCCACGGAACTCAAGGAGTAGAACAGCTTTATCTGTTGACAGGAAAAAAGTTCTCTACGTCTTCTGGAGTTTGCAGCAGCTTCAAAGGAAGTTCCTCGGGTTTAAGTGATTGAAATTGATAGACTGAAGAAAGTATATTTTCTGCACCCAGGCTCGCATGAAATTTATATGACATGGAATTATGATAGTAGAATAATGTTATTTCCTTCGTTATTTTCTGCACCCAGGCTCGCATCAACTAGCATCTTCTCGGAACTCCTCCTATACATGGCCGTTAATTTTAGAAAGTCAAGGTTGTCCTGATTATTAGCGACCAAATGTGCCACTTCCTTCGTAAGAGATCGTGATTGCCCAGACCCTGCAGAAAATTTTATAAGGATCATCAAACTTGGAACCCAAAGTGGATTAAGAATGTCGAGCACCCTGCAGATAGCTTAAACATTCTCGGAAGGCATCTAATCCCCTGAAGAAGAAGCAAATCTTACGATACTATCAAGTGGAAGTTTCCTTTGAACAGAGGAGGTACCAAACAACATTGATGGAATGCAATAGCTAGAAATCCTCAACCTCTCAAAAAATAATCTCTCGGGTACAATTCCTTGCACCTTAATAGTTTTAAATTTCTTGAATGATTTGAACTTGTGGTATAACCATCTCTCGGGTAAAATCCCCACCTAGTAGCCAATCGCAAACTTTAAATGATCCATCTATCTATATCGGCAATCCAAATCTTTGTGGCCTCCTCTCCCAAAAAATTGTATAGACGACCTGGCAAAACATACTGAAGAAAAAGAGAACAATAAGAATTCTGCAAGCAGAACTGAAATAATTTGGCTGTTCATGTGGACTGCACTGGGATTTATCGTGGGATTTTGGACGATCTGTGGAAGCCTCATGCTTCACATGAGATGGAGGATTGTTTACTTTCAAGCTTTTGATAACATGTATGAGAGGCTCCGCGTCCATTTTTTTCTCACATATTGACTTAGATAACATGTATGTTCTCAAGCTTTTTGATAACATGTATGTGATGGTGAGCATCCGCAAACTTTCTCATATATTGACTCAAATGAACTTTTCATTCACGACACCGTTTGTGATACATGTCCTATGACTATTTCAAATTCTCTTTAAATCTCTACATTCTTTGGTTAATGATTGATGTGGACGTAAGCTGTGGGAACAACCCACTCCATGTACAATTTTCAACAACATGTGTGACATTTCAAATATTTATAAAAATGATATTCTTTATTGATAAATTTGTTTGGAACCTTAAGCACATTCGTTTGATCAAGTAAATGAGAGTGAAATGAGAATGATTTAAGTGGTTTTTTTTTCTTTGATTATTCTTTCATCGAATAGGCAAAGTAAATGGGTCAAGTCAATGATAGTGATTTTGAGTATATTTCTCTTTATATTTTTCTATAGTCAATGAACCTCCGTAAGTTTCCCCGTTTTACACTGGCGAAATTAGTCCCTTGGAAAGATGAGTAGCTGATTGATGATGCATTTAATGTTTGATGATTCTACTAAAAATAATAATAGGAATTGTTATAACCATGCAAATGCATTAGATGATTAAAATTTTAGATTTGCTTTTTCTGAAAGTCTTGTTACAAATATTTGAAACTCCGATTAGATCTCTACATCCTGCGATAAAGATTGACGTACATGTAAGCTGTACAATAGCAACTGTTTCAAAGATCCCGCAAATGATAGTGATTTAGAGTAGCATTTCTCTTTGTTGTCTTTTCAATAAGTACATATTTTCTGCACAACACGACGGAGTATCTTTCTCATTTTTTTAAATCAGAGCCCTTCTAATGATGATATTTTATAATGTCATGACACACGTAACCATCGATCTTCGTTATTATATGTTTCATCTGCTTTGGAGGACTAAACATAGTAATTGAGTAAAGTAAATGCCAGTGATTTCTAGTTGCTTTTTTTTCTTTGGTCAAGTAAATGACAGTCTTGTCTTTGGTAAAGTAACGAATGTCTTATACACAACACACATGGGTTGACTCGAAAACCACATTGAACGTCAAGTAGGAGACTTCAAATTGTGATCACGATCACTATTTAAATGAATCATTCAACATATTAGTTGAGTCAGGCAAATAACAATTATTTAAGTGAAATTTACTAGGTCAAATAAATGATGATGATTCATAATAACTTTCCTTGATTCCCTTACGTGAATAGATTGTTTAACACAATACCCGATTGTAGATAGATGGTGGCTGATAAAAAAGGATAAGCAATTTAAATGACAGTGATTTTAGTAGCTTTTTTTTTGTTATAGTTTTTTTAAAGATTAAACAGATTAATTGAGTCAAGTATATGATAACAATTTTGAGGAGCTCTTTTGTTTGATCAAAGTTTTTAAGTGAAGAAATGTCTGTTACACAACAGGCATATGTTGACTCGAAAACACGCATTAAGCAGCCTCGTATGATCAGTTTTGTAGGATGCGGTGATTTGTACAATAGTGAACAGATTACATTCCCAAGTTTTGAATCTCCAAATAAGTTATAATCTTGATATGTGATACACAAAAAATCATTTTGATGGAACCATCATCGTATTCGTAAATCTTAAAATCCAATATGAGCAAAGGTAGGAAACTCCAAATTGAGATCACGATCGTGTAAAGTGTGGAGGAAAAGCTTCCCGGCCTCTCTACGGCACCCAATTTCCATCGAGTGTTGAATGATTCTCACCTCAGACGACTTTGACTACCAGCGGAATAATGACATCTATCTATGGATATCCAGCATCCACCAAGTCCATAGTCCTAATGTTCATGTTCACAAGAGACTAGAGCAGAATATTCATATAAATACACACACATGGACTACTGCCTGCCGCACGAGTAATAAGAAGTTAATTAGATCCTCTAATATCCATCCATGGGTGAAAGATCTCCTCTTCCTGTGATCGTCTTCTCTCTTTCCGTACTTTGCATTGAGCTCGGGATCTCGGATGGTTTCTCCATGATCCGCTGTCAAGAGACAGAGAGGAAAGCCCTCATGGAGTTCAAGCAACGAGTCCGTGATCCTTCCCATCGTCTTTCTTCCTGGGTTGGGGAGGATTGTTGTAGTTGGGAAGGCATCCGCTGCAGCAACGTCACTGGCCATGTTATCGAGCTCCACCTTCGCAATAGACATCGGTCAGATGTTTCATACATGGATTGCTCTGAGACTAACTTCGATGATGATGATGTTGGATGCAGATGGGCACTGCACGGTGGCATAACTCCATCATTGCTTTCTCTCCAACACCTTAATCATTTGGATCTTAGCGGCAACAACTTTGAAGGAAATCGTATCCCAGAGTTCTTGGGATCATTTAGAAGACTAACATATCTTAATCTCTCAAGTGCAGGCTTCGGAGGTAGAGTACCTGATCAGCTGGGAAATATCTCCACCTTGCACCAACTCGACCTTTCTTATAATTTCTACTCGAATTATGATTTGCACATCGAAAACATTGGATGGATCTCTCGTTTGACTTCTCTACAGCACCTTTACATGAATTGGGTTAGTTTTAGAAATGTGTCCAATTGGTTACAAGCATTGAACACGCTCTCTCGTATTCAAGTGATTGAATTAGTTTCTTGTGACTTGAGGACCTTTCCTCCGTCGCTGCCTCATGTCAACTTCACATCTCTTACAACTCTAAATTTGGAAGACAACATCATCAACTCTACCGTGCCAGACTGGCTGTTTAATATAACCAGCCTCGAGGAGCTTTATCTTTGTTGGAATTACCTATATGGGCAAACTCCTGATACTATTGCCAAGTTGACAAATCTCAGGGCACTCGACTTGTCTGGTAATATGTTCCACGACGACTTCAGACTAGAAGCTCTATCCAATCTCAGCAAGCTCCAAATTCTCTACCTAGAAGAGGTACCAATCAACGATATGCTGTCCAATCTAGAATCGGTTTTCTCTGGATGCCTAATGTTTAGCTTAAAGGAATTGGATCTCCACGGCACCCAGTTGAGAGGTTCCTTGCCGGATTGGTTGGGGAACTTCAAGAATCTCAAGTCTCTTCGTCTTTCATACAACTTCCTCTACGGATCAGTTCCTGCATCTCTTGGAAATCTATCATCGCTGCAATCTTTGTTTTTATACTCCAACGATTTGAACGGGTCGATTTCAGAAGGCATCGGAGGACTGAAGGGCCTTATCAATTTGGATCTCTCTAATAACTCATTTCGCTTTTCAAAGGTTCACTTTGCTAATTTATCGAGTTTAAAGTTCTTGGACATTTCATATAGCTATATTGATTTGAATAAAGGTGATGACTGGATCCCTCCTTTTCAGCTTCAAAGTCTCTATATGTTCTTCTGCCAAATAGTGCCGAGGCCTCATTTTCCGAAATGGCTCCGATTGCAAACAACTCTTCGTGGTTTAGATTTATCAAGTACAAGTATCAAAGAAAGGATTCCCAACTGGCTTCCTTCCTCTCTCGAGTATTTGTATCTTTCCAATAATAAGATTAGCGGTGATTTGCTACAATATCTTCCAAACCTAATTTCTTTGGATCTCTCAAACAACTCGCTCTCAGGCCACCTTTCTCCAAGAATCGCAAACATCATGCCAAATCTTGAGGTTTTGGATCTCTCTGGCAATAAGATTGCTGGTGAGCTGCCACAACTTTTTGGAAAGCAAACTTACTATTTGGATCTCTCAAATAACTCGTTCTTGGGTCATCTTTCATCAAAAATCTCAAACACAATGCAATATTTATATTGGTTTGATTTATCTATGAATCATCTGAGTGGGAGCATCCCCTTGTCCTTTTGCCAAAATAAGTATTTGCTAGTGCTTCGAATTTCAAAAAATAATTTATCAGGAGAGATTCCTAATTGCTGGAAAAATTTCTCGAGTTTGTTTATTTTGGACGTATCGAGCAACAAATTACAAGGAAGAATTCCCAACTCCCTCAGCAATTTGCGAAGCCTACAGTCACTGCATCTGAGCAACAATAATTTAATAGGGCAAATTCCTCTATCCTTAAAAAGTTGTACAAACTTGGTTACTCTTGATTTGGGCTACAACAACTTCATTGGAAATATACCAGCTTGGATTGAAGAAAGCCTACCATTCCTTAAGACTCTCAGCTTAAGGTCGAATGCCCTCACCGGAAGCATTCCTGAATTATCTCATCTTACATATCTGCAGATATTGGATCTCTCCAATAATGCATTTTCAGGAGCAATACCACGTAGCTTGGGCAACTTCAGTTCATTGAAGAGGTCTTCTTCAAGTGAATTATACTTCAACAACTATAGCTACGATGACGAAATGTGGCTCTTCATAAAAGGGAGTGAACTCGAGTATACTACAAGACTGCTTTCAATTGATAAAGTTATTGATCTCTCCAACAACAGTTTGTCTGGATACATCCCTGAGGAGTTGGGAAATTTGCATGAATTACGGAGCTTAAATCTATCGAGAAATTGCCTAACAGGGGAGATACCGAGCAATATTAATGGAATGCAACAATTAGAAATTCTTGATCTCTCCAGAAATAATTTGTCTGGAGCAATTCCTTCAACCTTGGCGGCGTTAAATTTCCTGAGTGATTTGAACTTATCATATAACAATCTTTCAGGTAGAATTCCCACTGGTAGTCAATTACAAACATTTACTGATCCATCTATCTATATCGGCAATTCAGATCTTTGTGGCTCTCCTCTCACCAAATATTGTCCAGAAGATATGCCAACAAAAGGTAAAGAAGAAGAGGAAAAAAAAAAATCTAAGGACAGAATTGAAAGTATTTGGCTATACATGTGCCGTGCACTAGGATTTATCGTGGGATTTTGGACGATTTGTGGAAGCATCTTATTGAACTCGAGATGGAGGATTGCTTACTTCCATGCTATTGATAGCATGTGTGATAGGCTCTATGTGGTGCTGGTACTGAATGTGGCAATGTTCAAGAGGAAGCTACTGGTAGGAGGTCAAGTTGACTAAGCCGATGGGAGCGTTCACAATTAGTATCAGGCAGTATGTATTGGGCTCATGGTTTGCATGTTTTTCCATAATCCACTGGTGACATGATTTTATTTTTTGCAAGGACTATCGATTTGTCTTTCTGAATTCTATAAGCTCTAATTAACATTTAGCCAGCAGTATTGTTCGACTCTGTTTTTGCCATAAGCTACACTGTAGCGTTGTTTATTGAATAGATTCTATTTGTCATGAATCATCAATGAAAATATGTAAAAGAATTCCACCATCTGTGATGTGTAATAACATTTGAATAACACATGACAAGAAATCTTCTCACTGAGTGTCACAATCTTTGCCGTAACACTCATTACAGGATTTATAGTACTCCACTCATACCAGGAAAAATCTTTCTAGTCTTTAAGCCTCATTTTCACTTGTGGATTGGACTATAGCTTATACACATCTTCTATTTTGATTTATTTATTTTCCTTTCCACCTCTGCTAAACACGACATTCATCACCGTACAGTGTCTTAACAGGAAAAGTTGAAGATAGAGTTCTGCATGATGAAGAGTTGGATTAGGATGCAGACCATGAACAAATTACTGACCAATTAAAAACTCATGTTTCCATATAAACTGGTTTAATACACAAGGTAGCTTTCATCAAATAATGTCCTCAATACATGATGATCAAGGGCACTGATCTGTGATGTATCCAAGGAAAGAATTGGAGAGCAATGTTTATTTATTTGGGATATGCAGGAAAAAAAAAGGAACCACCAAAGAGAACAGTAGGGAATCTGAAAAAAAAAGAAAAAAAAGAAAAAATAATGAATAGATGAGAACAGATGGCATCGTGGTTAATGTAAAACTGTTTTAGTGAATAAAGGAAGGAGGCTAACCTCAATAAATTACAAGCTATTCTTGCATTGTCCAAAAGAATCAGTTTTTCTGATGAGAGGTTTTTGCTGGTGGCAATGTGCCAAAGATGATGTCCCAGAGTGAAGAAGTTATTCCAAACACCTTGTTTTGAACTTTGAAGTGATGGTTTAGATGATACCGCTGTGCAAAAGAAGCAGCATTTTTCCTCTTCATCCGAGGTTGCCAAAACAAAATGCAATCCTTTTCTTTCTCACCTTCAGATGTTTAGCTGGGTGTTTGGATGGATGTCCATGATGCAGGTAGCAATGAGTGCAGTCATATATAACGAACGTACCCCAACAGGCCACCTCCAAACACAGCATGCGCAGCTGATGCAGCTATGTCAACTTGATTAGGGGTTCTTTTGGAAGAACTGAGAGAACGTTAAGCACCATGAGAGCCTCCATCGGCATGATACAGCATTTTACCTTTGTTGATCGAGACAGTTTATATTTCATGTCAACTTGATTAGGGACTCATTGGGTTTATTGGAAGACTAATTCAGTAACCTAAAGTTAGGCCTAGCTGTTGTGCCACCTATGAGTTTGAAAGTACAAAATGTAATTTTCAAAAAAAAAAAAGCCTTGACAACAGTACCGTCAAGGTCAGTGGTGGTACTGTCCAGTGTCAGATGTACCATCCAAATACAATCTCATAACTATATCGAGCAGTGGCACCGTCAATACTCTGAAAATCTATGTATTTGAATTTTTTACTCCATTTTTGAAGTCATTTGGGGCTTATAAATACCCCATTCATTTTTGCTTGAGATAGCAAGAAAAGAGCATGAAAAACTTGTGATTCTAAGTATAAATTCTATCGAGTTCTTTCCTCCTTAAAGCGTTATTCAAAGGGAGATGTAAGAATTACTTATAAAAGAGAGTTATAAATGTTCTCTCCTAAGCCTGTAAAAATGAGAAAATTGTTATAACAAGGATAGTTAATCTTTGCCCATTATAAAAAAGATCGATAATGAAAGTCGATGACCTCGAAGGAAGAGGAATCCAGAGTGAACGTATGTCGGGATGATCAAACCACTATAAATCAATTTATATTTTTCTTTATGCTTTTCATTATTATTACTAACTGATTTACTTAGTCACTATTCTTACTCACATTTGAAATTAAATGTATTTCCGATACGGATTTCATCGAAAGTTATTGAATTATTTTAACTTTTTCGAAAGCACAAATTCCCTCTCTTTCGGATACGGGTTTCACCGAACAAAAGTCTTTGAATCGTTTCAAGTTTTTCAAAAGCACTAATTAACCCCCTTTCTGATTCGAGTTTCATCGAATGAAATTCTTCGAATCGTTTAAACTTTTTCGAAAGCACTAAGTCACCCTCCTATTAGTGTCTTTACGGTCCTAAGATATATGGCTTAAATATTTTAAATTAATATTTTAAACTTAACAAAATTAATAAGTTAATTATCTCATCAAATTGGATCACGATAGCATTGATATTTTTAAGTTGTATTATTGCTTTGTGAAAGACACTCGTCATTGCTTCTACAATCCAATTTATGCTTAATTTAATCACTAACAAAAAAAATCTTATTTTAATACCTCAATCACATTCTGATTTGTCATGATCCGTATTGATGAATCAATATTACCTATAAGTTATTAAGTCGAAACTAAATATCCAAAATACTTAAGTTTAAATTAATAATAATAAAATATATAATCCATATTGTTACATTCGTAATACAAGACATAAGCCACTAGTCTTAGAATCTTAAAATCTTAATCCAACAGTGGGTTGGAAAATTGAGTCCAATAATTCAATCATATTGATTTGAGAACAATCTTTTGACTCATGACATGCTTGTGATACAACATATTCTATGACTATTTCAAACTCTCTCTAAATCACTGTATCCTCTGGTTAACGATTGATGCAATTTCTCGATGTACAATTTCTAATAACATATGTGACATTTCAAATATTTATCATAAATAATAAAAGTGATATCTTTTGTTGCTAAATTTCTCGATTTCTTTGGAACATTACATTAAGTATATTCATTTAGTCAAGTAACTGAGAGTAACTTTTAAGTACAATTTTTTCCATTGGTTATTCATTCATAGAATAGACAAAGTAGGTTAAGCAAATGATAGCGATTTTGAGTTTTTATTTATTTATTTATCTAACATCCACAAATTTTCCTATTTCACACGGACAAAAGTTGAGTCCTTCGGAAAGACGAGTAGTGTTTAATACCTCCTATGATAAATGGAATGTCGTAGCCGTGCAAATTTATCAGCTAATTTTGCAAGGCCAAGTCTATAATCATATTGAAATGGGATTGGCACAACAAGCTTCACTATATATTTTCTACAAATGAAGTTGGCTTGCTCTGTATTTGATCACTAAAATTTTAGGTTTGCTTTTTTCTAAAAGTCTTGTTGCAAATATTTGTAACTCTCGTGTTTTACATCCTCGGATAAAGATTGACGTTGATAAAATCTATGAAAATAGCCACTAATTCAAAGATCAGGCAAACTAATTGGGTCAAGTAATTCATAGTGGATTTTCTTTGGTGTCTTTTCAGTAAATGCATATCTTCTCTTCTGCATAGCATCGGGAATGGCTTTCTCATCATTTTAAATTATAACTCTTCTGTCCATGATATTTTATAAAGTCATGACACGTAACCATCAATTTTCATTATCAAATTTCTCATCTATTTTAGAATATTAAACATCATAATTGAGTCAAAGTAAACGATAGTGATTTTAGTAGCTTTTTTTCTTGGTTATAGTTTTCAAAGATTGGACAGATTAATTGGGTCAAGTATATGATAACAATTTTGAGGAGCTCTTTTGTTTGATCAAAGTTTGAAGCGAAGAATGTCTTCTACACAGCACGCATATGTTGACTCGAAAACACGCATTGAGCAGCCTCGTATGATCAGTTTTGTACGATGCGATGAATTTGAACGACCACCTTTTTCTCCTCTGTAACTACTTTAGGATCATATTTCTACGTAACTTCTCTCTAAATGATTTGTACAACAGTGAACAGATTGCATTCCCATGTTTTGAATCTCCAAACAAGTTATAATCTTGATATGTGATACATCAAAAATCGTTTTGATGGAACCATCATCGTATTCGTAAATCTTAAAATCCAATATGAGCAAAGGTAGGAAACTCCAAATTGAGATCACGATCGTGTAAAATGTGGAGGAAAAGCTCCCCGGCCTCTCTACGGCACCCAATTTCCAATGTGTTGAATCGTTCTCATTTCAGACTACTTTGACTAGCAACCTAATAACGATATCTATCTATGGATATCCAGCATCCACCAAGTCCATAGTCCTAATGTTCATGTTCACAAGAGGCTAGAGCAGAATATTCATATAAATACACACACATGGACTGCTGCCTGCTACATGGTAATAAGAAGTTAGTTAGACCCTCTAATATCCATCCATGGGTGGGAGATCCCCTCTCCTTGTGATCGTCTTCTCTCTTGCCGTGCTTTGCATTGAGCTCGGGATCTCGAATGGTTTCTCCATGATCCGCTGTCAAGAGACAGAGAGGAGAGCCCTCATGGAGTTCAAGCAACGAGTCCGTGATCCTTCACATATTCTTTCTTCCTGGGTTGGGGAGGATTGTTGTAGTTGGGAAGGAATCCGCTGCAGCAACGACACTGGCCATGTTATCGAGCTCCACCTTCGCAATAGACATCGGTCAGATGTCTCATACATGGGTTGCTCTGAGACTAACTTCGATGATGATGATGTTGGATGCAGATGGGCACTGCACGGTGGCATAACTCCATCATTGCTTTCTCTCCAACACCTTAATCATTTGGATCTTAGTGGCAACAATTTTGAGGGAAATCGTATCCCAGAGTTCTTGGGATCCTTTGGAAGACTAACATATCTTAATCTCTCGGGAGCAGGCTTCGGAGGTAAAGTACCTGATCAGCTGGGAAATCTCTCCACTTTACACCAACTCGACCTTTCTTATAATTTCTATCTAGATGATGATTTATACATCGAAAACATTGGATGGATCTCTCGTTTGACTTCTCTACAGCACCTTAACATGAATCAGGTTAGATTTAGAAATGTGTCCGATTGGTTGCAAGCATTGAACGCACTCTCTCGTATTCAAGTGGTTGAAATGGCTTCTTGTGGCTTGGAGACCTTTCCTCCTTCGCTGCCTCATGTCAACTTCACATCTCTCACAACTCTAAATTTGGAAGACAACATCATCAACTCTACTGTGCCAGACTGGCTATTTAACATAACCAGCCTCGAGGTGCTTTCTCTTGGGTCGAATCACCTATATTGGCAAACTCTTGATTCAATTGCCAAGTTGACAAATCTCAGGCAACTCGACTTGTCTTATAATACGTTCCATGACGGCTTCAAACCAGAACCTCTATCCAACCTCTGCAAGCTCCAAATTCTCGACCTAGATAAAGTGCCTGTCAATAATGTGCTAGCCAATCTAGAACAGGTCTTCTCTGGATGTCTAATGCTCATCTTAGAGGAATTGAATCTCAGCGGCACCCAATTGAGGGGTTCCATTCCAGATTGGTTGGGGAACTTCAAAAATCTCAAGTTTCTTGATCTTTCACACAACTCCCTCTATGGATCAGTTCCTAGATCTCTTGGAAATCTATCATCGCTGCGATCTTTGTTTTTATACTCCAACGATTTGAATGGGTCGATTGCAGAAGGCATCGGAGGACTGAAGGGCCTTATCTATTTGGTTCTTTCTTATAACTCATTTCACTTGTCGGAGCTCCACTTGGTTAATCTGTCGAGTTTAAAGTATTTGGACATTTCATACAACTACATCGATTTGAATAAAGGTGATGAGTGGATTCCTCCTTTTCAGCTTCGAAGCCTCTATATGACCTTCTGCCAAATATTGCCGAGGCCTCATTTTCCGAGATGGCTCCGATTGCAAACAACTCTTCGTGATTTATCTTTATCAAGTACAAGTATCAAAGAAGGGATTCCCAACTGGCTTCCTTCCTCTCTCGAGTATTTGTCTCTTTCCAATAATGAGATTAGCGGTGATGTGCCACAATATCTTCCAAACCTAATGTATTTGGATCTCTCTAACAACTTGCTCACGGGCCACCTTTCTCCAAGAATCGTAAATATGATGCCAAGTCTTCAGTTTTTGGATCTCTCTAACAATAAGATTACTGGTGAGCTACCACAACTCTTTTCAAAGCAAATTTCTTATTTGGATTTCTCAAAGAACTTATTCTCAGGACATTTTCCATCAAAAATCTCAAACACAATGCCAAACTTAAATTGGTTTGATTTATCTATCAATAATCTGAGCGGGAGCATCCCCTTATCTTTTTGTCCAAATAAGTATTTGCTAGTGCTTCGACTTTTCAAAAATAATTTATCAGGAGAGCTTCCTAATTGCTGGAAAAATTCCTCGAGTTTGTTTATTTTGGACTTATCGAGCAACAAGTTCCAAGGAAGAATTCCCAACTCCCTCAGCAATTTGCAAAGCCTACAATCACTCCATCTGAGCAACAATAATTTAATAGGGCAAATTCCTTTTTCTTTAAAAGGTTGTACAAGCTTGGTTACTCTTGATCTGGGGAACAATAATTTTATCGGAAATATACCAGCTTGGATTGGAGAAAGCCTACCATACCTAAAGACTCTCAGCTTACGCTCGAATGCCTTCATCGGAAGAATTCCTGAACTATCTCATCTTACATCTCTTCAAATATTGGATCTCTCGAATAATAATCTTTCAGGAATAATACCACCTACAACTTCAGTTCATTGAAGAGATCTTCTTCTTCAAGTGATTTATACTTCAACAACCATAGCTACGAGGATGTAATGTGGCTCTTCATAAAAGGGAGTGAACTCGAGTATACCACAAGATTGCTTTCAATTGATAAAGTTATTGATCTCTCCAACAATGGTTTATCTGGAAGTATACCTGAGGAGTTGGGAAATCTGCATGGATTACGGAGTTTAAATCTATCTAGAAATTACCTAACGGGGAAGATACCGAACAACATTAATGGAATGCAACGATTAGAAATTCTTGATCTCTCCAGAAATAATTTGTCTGGAGCAATTCCTTCAACCTTGGCAGCGTTAAATTTCTTGAATTATTTGAACTTGTCATATAACAATCTTTCGGGTAGAATTCCCACTGGTAGCCAATTACAAACGCTTACTGATCCATCTTTCTATGCCGGCAATTCAGATCTATGTGGCCCTCCTCTCACAAAAAATTGTATAGACAATATTCCAACAAAAGAAGAGGAAAATGAAAATTCTATGGACAGAATTGAAAGTATTTGGCTATACATGTGCCGTGCACTAGGATTTATCGTGGGATTTTGGACGATTTGTGGAAGCATCTTATTGAAATCGAGATGGAGGATTGCTTACTTCCAAGCTATTGATAACATGTGTGATAGGCTCTATGTGGTGCTGGTATTGAATGTAGCAATGTTCAAGAGGAAGCTAATGGTAGGACGTCAAGTTGACTAAGCCGATGGGAGCATTCACCATTAGTATGAAGCAACATGTATTGGGCTCATTGTTTGCATGCTTTTTCATAATCCACTGGTCACATGATTTTAATTTTTGCAAGGACTATCGATTTGTCTTTCTGCCTTATCTTGGCATCAATATTTTAGTTCATTAAAGTATGAGTTCTCAGCGTATAGTCTATAAGCTTTAATTAACATTCAGCCAGCAGTATTGTTCGACTCTGTTTTATCCATAAGCTACACTGTGGCGTAGTTTATTGAATAGATTTCATTTGTCATGAATCATCTATGAAAATATGTAAAAGCATTCCACCATATGCGATGTGTAATAACATTTGCAAGTTACGTATAACACAAGACAAGAAATCTTCTCACTGAGTGTCACAATCTTTGCCGTAATACTTATTACAGGATTTATAGTACTCCACTCATAACAAGAAAAATCTTTCTAGTCTTTAAGCCTCATTTTCACTTGTTGATTCGACCAGCTTATACACATCTTCTATTTAGATTCTTTTATTTTCCTTTCCACCTCTGCTAAACACGACATTCATCACTGTACAGTGTCTTAACAGGAAAAGTTGAAGATAGAGTTCTGCATGATGAAGAGTTGGATTAGGATGCAGACAATGAACAAATTACTGACCAATTAAAAACTCATGTTTCCATATAAACCAGTTTAATACATAAGGTAGCTTTCATCAAATAATGCCCTCAATACATGATGATCAAGGGCACTGATCTGTGATGTATCCAAGGAAAGAATTGGAGGGCAATGTTTATTTATTTGGGATATGCAGGAAAAAAAAAAGGAACCACCAAAGAGAACAGTAGGGAATCTGAAAAAAAAAGAAAAAAAAGAATGAATAATGAATATATGAGAACAGATGGCATCGTGGTTAATGTAAAACTGTTTTAGTGAATAAAGGAAGGAGGCTAACCTCAATAAATTACAAGCTATTCTTGCATTGTCCAAAAGAATCAGTTTTTCTGATGAGAGGTTTTTGCTGGTGGCAATGTGCCAAAGATGATGTCCCAGAGTGAAGAAGTTATTCCAAACCCCTTGTTTTGAACTTTGAAGTGATGGTTTAGATGATACCGCTGTGCAAAAGAAGCAGCATTTTTCCTCTTCAGAACTACATCCATAGTTGCCAAAACAAAATGCAATCCTTTTCTTTCTCACCTTCAGGTGTTTAGCTGGGTGTTTGGATGGATGTCCATGATGCAGGTAGTAATGGGTGCAGTCATATATAACGTATCCCAACAGGCCACCTCCAAACACGGCAGGCGCAGCTGATGGAGCCATGAGTAGGTGCAGCAGATGCCAGAACTGAGAGAGAACGTTAAACACCATGAGAGCCTCCACTGACATGACAGCCATTTTACCTTTGCTAATCGAGACAGTTTAAATTTTTCAGAAAGAGAAAATAAAAGTCATATACCAAAAGCATTAGACGAAACATGGCATGCTCATCAAATCCGGCACACATATAAAATGGCTGAGAAAAATAAGTGCTAATACCGGCACACATATGATGGCTGTTGCAGCAGGTGGAAAAACAAGGCGCAGTCCGTCCATGGGGTACTTGTGATGGCATCCATGAAACAGATAATGAATTGTGTTTCCCCTGCATCATGGTTCTCAACAAGAAGTTAAAAGGACTCATGAAGTTTACATCAATCATACAAAGACTGGAAACAATTGTACCAGTAGCCTTTTGTTTTCATGTGGAAAAGGAAGCGATGCAAAGAATACTCAATCATGGTCCAGAGAAGAATTCCTGATGACACCAGTGGGACCAATTGAGGGAGTGTGTTGCCCATTCGAATAGAGATGGTCAGACACCAGAAAACAACTGGGAGCCATATCACTGGAACAACCCACCACACTGTTCTCGTTAAGCACTGAATAATTGCAACAAAAGCATATTAGTCAGGAAATCTTATCAAATCTATCATCTCATGCTGCATTAATTCTCGTCAGAGTATTACCTCCATGAAGCCATTTGCAAAGAATCGTGGGATCTCCTTGGTAACGATGGGCCGGTGAACCCAGTCCTCATAATCTTCCCCAAGATGACCAACCTTTAGATATATACATGAGCAAGAATGTGAAATGTTTGAAATGTTAAATCTGTATCAGGTGAGAGCAATGATAAACATTAAAACATGTGGAAAGGATGAGATCATATCTTTATTAGAAATGTGATTGATTTTACTATTCAAGATTCCAATAATTGTGAAGAAATGATATCATCAAAATTGTCAAATCCTCTACATGGTCATCGATGGTGACCTCCTTAGATGTATATGTAAATGTAAAATATATGGAAGCCTATAGTAAAAACAGGTAAAATTTTATGCAAATTCTAAGGGTATTCATCAAAAAATTTTAGATTACTTGATGCAAAATTACCGAAAAGACATCATGGTCTAAGATAATAAAAGCATTGTGACAACTGAAGATGTGGAATATTGAAAAAATTGTTGGCTTTTTCATGTGTAATGATATTGATTTTTCACAAAATAGATTAAGATTCCAAGCAACCTTGAACTTTTGATTAGTTCTTGTTAGGGTATCTATATAAATACAGTAATGATCAGGAATGTTGCAAGAGAGCGAATTAGAACAATTATAACAAAATCAGCATTCATTTTATTGAGATGGTTATGTCGAAGATACTTATGAAATGTATGTGTTTTTGCAGTAAGTTTTTACATTATCTTCACATTGGCTTGGTATAATAAGAAAGAGAAAAGAAATCAAGACATGAAACCACCACAATTGTACCTGGAAAACCAGAGGCTTGTTCAAGTCAACCGAGAACCCCTGGGCAACCATTTCTGTATTGTAAATTCTACTGCAAGCAAATCAATTCATTATTTTGTGCAATATAGAGAGACGGATTATGAAAAAGATCATTCAATTCCTCAAATTGTATGTTCTGCAATCAAATGAACTTTTCAGTATCATATTTTTCAATTCATTAACCAAATCTTACTTTTCAGTATCATATGTTCTGCAATCAAACAGTCCTAACAACGAAACATGTTTGGGGTAGAAATGCATAATGTAAAAAATTACTAACGTGATTGCAGAATGCGCTTTGGAAGAACAAATCAACTTTTTTTCCTTTCGACAGGAATTTATCTGAATAAATGTTACAACATCTGAAACCATCCATTTAGAACCAACGAATCACGAGAGACATAAATCGTCCCCAAAGAGAAAAGACCGCATTGGAATTCCCTACCGAAAAGCAAGCGCAGGGGCGAACCAAAACTCCGTCGACAACTGAGTCGGACCACAAATCCCACAAGAAACCACCACTCTTCTTCAATGGAAGAGGAAAACCTGAAGAATAGCGTGGGAATGAGGGGCGTCGAGAACCGCGGGAGGGATCGCCTCTCCGGCTTCTCCTCTCCGCGCACCGAGGCGAAAATGCCTAATTCCTCCTCCTTGCTCGTTTCTCGTTCTTTCTCTCGTATAAATAGGAGGCTGTGACTTCGTCGCGGGCCGTACATCGTGTAGCGCTTCCGGAATCGAATCCATGCCGTCGACTTCCCAACGGAACGCCCGGGTGCCAGCTCGGCTTCGCTGCGTAAGGATGAGGATTCGATGGCTCAGCCCAACAGGGCCCAATCCAAGAAGAAATGACTAACGACTTCGAATCGTAGGATTCGGAGCGCGAACCCGTTGATCATCGATAAGGATCACAATTCTAAATGGTATCGGACGACACATAATTGAATCTGTTTAAAGAATGTGACTAAATTGATGTACACAAGTACTTTCGTTTTCTTGCTCATAATTATTATAGCATGTAATCGTGCTTATTAATCCAATTTGAATGGGAATATCCAACTGCAAGAATCAAGGACGAGGTCATAGATGCGAAGAAAATATCTTGGTTGACATAAAAGCTAAAGCGGTCTTATTATCGTGAAAGGACACACATGTAGAAGATACAACTGCAGATAACTAGAAAACCTGTAAACATGCCTCTATCAGGTACTTGATTCTTGATGTTACCCAAGCCGTAGTGCTTATATCGGATCACCCATCTTGACCACTTCCTCGTAGCTTCCTTCTGAGCTTTGCCATGTTCAATACCGTCACCACGTAGAGCCTATCGGACATGTTATCGATGGCGCGGAAGTAAGCAATCCTCCATCTCCATTGCAATAGTAGGGTTCCACAAATCGTCCAAAATCCTACGATAAATCCCAGCGTGATGCTGGCGTACTCCCAAACAGTTTCGGTTCTGCTGTCAAGATCTTCGCTTTGCTTTTCTTTGTCATCGATGGATATGTCCTTTGGACAGCTTTTGGTAAGAGGAGGGCCACAAAGATTTGGGTTACCGGCATATATAGATGGATCAGTAAAAGTCTGCAATTGGTTACCGGTGGGAATTCTGCCTGAAAGATTATTATATGACAGGTTCAAATGGTTCAAAAAATTCAAGGTGGCCAAGGTTGAAGGAATTGAACCTGAGAGATTATTTCTTGATAGATCCAGAGTTTCTAGTTGTTGCATTCCCTTGATATTGTTTGGTATCTCTCCCGTCAGATAATTCCAAGATAGATTTAAGGTCTGAAGACTTTGTAGATTTCCTAACTCCTCGGGGATACTTCCTGACAAGCCATTGTTGGAGAGATCGATCATAGTGACGAGCGGCAGTAGGCTGCTGTACTCGGATTCGATTCCTTTGACAAATAGCCACATATTTTCTGCCGCACCTCCGATATCATAGTCGCCCTTTTGAGGAGAGAGTTTCATGGCAGGGAAGTTGCCGAAGCTCCGAGGGATAGTTCCAGATAGATTGTTGTTCGAAAGATCCAAGATTTGAAGAGATGCTATATGAGAAAAGCGAGGAATACTGCCGGTGAAGGCATTTGAGCGTAAGCTGAGCGTCTTTAGGTTCAGTAGGTTTTCTCCGATCCCGGGCGGTACATCTCCAACGAAGCTGTTGTAGCCGAGATCAAGAGTTTCCAGTTCTGTGAGACTCTTTAAACAAAGAGGCATCTGACCCGATAGATTGTTGTTGCTCAGGTGAAGCGACTGTAGCTTTTTCAAATTGCAGATTGAGTGTGGAATCCCCCCTTGTAAAGTGTTGTTTGATAGATCCATGACAACTAGGATTGAGGAATTTTTCCAGCAATTAGGAAGATCTCCCGACAGATTGTTCTGGGCAAGTCGAAGCACGTACAGAAACTTATTTCGACAAAGGGAAAGAGGGAGGATCCCACTCAGATTATTCGTAGATAAGTAGAGAAACTGTATTGCCGGCATGGTGTCTGCGATTGTCGAGGGAAGGGGCCCTGACACCCGATTATTTGAGAGACCCAAAAAACTTAAGTTTGGAAGATATTGTGGCATGCCTCCGGTGATGCCATTATAGGAGAGGTCCAGTTGCTCGAGACTGGGAGGAAGCCAGTTAGGAATAGCGCCTTGGATGCCTGCGCCAGCTAAATCTAAATACGTAAGAGCTGTCTGTGTTCGAAGCCATTTCGGAAACTGGGGTCTTGGCACTATCTCACAGAGTTGCATCGAAAGAGTATTAAGCTTAAAAGGGGGGATCCAGTCATTGCCTTCTTCCAAGACAAACGAGTTGTACGAAATGTCCAAATCCTTCAAATTTGATAGATTGGCCAAGTGGACTTGAGACAATCTCAACGAATTGTCAGTCAGAAACAAAGAGACAAGGCTCTTCATCTGCCCGATGCCATCCGGAATCGACCCATTCAAATCATTAGAACTTACATCCAAAGTTTGCAGCATCGACAGATTTCCAAGCGACGCAGGCAGTGATCCGTAGAGGAAGTTGGAGGAAAGATCAAGAGATTTGAGATTCTCCATGTTTCCTAACCAGTCCGGCAAGGTACCACTCAGCTGGCTGTGTCTGAGGTACAGTTCCTGCAAGCTAGACATAAGACATCCGGAGAAAATTACTTCTAGATTAGCCAGTGTATCATTGATAGGCACATCTATTAGATAAAGAAATTGGAGCCTGCAGAGGCTGGACAGTGCTGCTGGAATGAAGCCGTCATGGAAGGTATTCTGAGACAAGTCGAGTGCCTTGAGCGACGTCAACTTCGCGATGGACTCAGGAATGAGCCAGTTCAGGTCATTCCCACCAAGATAAAGGAAGTCGAGGCTGGTTATGTTGAAAAGCCAATCTGGTATGGTAGAGTTGATGTTGTTGTATCCTAAATCAAGAGTAGTGAGAGATGTGAAGTTGACAAGAGGCAGGGAAGGAGGAAAGGTCCCCAAGTCACACGACTTCAATTCTACCGCTTGAATGTGAGGGAGTGCATTAAATGCTTGTAACCAATTGGATGCATTTCGAAAGCTGACCCAGCTCATGTTGAGGAGACGAAGGGAAGTGAGACGAGAGAGCCATCCAGGGTCTTCAACGTACAATTTGAGAAGGCCATAAAAATTGTAAGAAAGATCGAGGTGGCGCAAGGTGGAGAGATTTCCGAGCCGCTCGGGTACTCTGCCGGCGACGCCTACGCTCGAGAGATTTAGATACCTTAGTCTCCTCAAGGATCCCAAGAACTCGGGAATTCGGCGACGTTCAAAGACGTTGCCGCTAAGGTCCAGGTGTTGAAGGTGTGGGAGAGAGAGCAGCGACGGGCTTATGTCACCGTATAATGTCCATTTGCATCCTTTACTATCACCATACCAGTAGTCAAAATTGTCAGAGCAATCAGAAAATAAATTGACGCGTGCATTCCGAAGGTCGAGCTTGATAACACGGCCGGTGACGTTGCTGCAGCCGACGCCTTCCCACATACAGCACTCCTTCCCGACCCAGGAAGAGAGACGACCGGAAGGATCATAGAATCCTCGCTTGAACTGGATCAGGGCTTGCCTCTCTGCCTCCTGGCAGAGGACGGTGGTGGAAGCATGAGAAATCGCAAGCTGAACGCTCAGCACTGTAAGAAAGCATATGATAGAAAGAAGAGGGCATCTCCTCTCCATATCACCCGCAAGGAATTGGGTATTATCACCCGCAAGGCAGAAGACAGATCTCCAGCGTCTTATAAAGCTCACAAGAGATGGCGCGTGAATTGGTGGTGCAAGTTCGACGGTCAATTTGGCGACTGGCGTTTGATGACTTGACCCATGACTTTGGCCGCACATTTTCGAGTGGGTGGGGTCATTTTTGGTGGTTATTCTTTCGCCGACACTGTGGATAGTCATATTGCAGCGTTTTCCGAGCAAACAAGCGTATATTGTAAGAAGACTTGAGCGGGTCATTGTGGATAGTCATCATCGGACAACTTCAATTTTGACCAAACAAGTGTGAATTAACGTGCCACAGCTTGGACTTAGTGGTGCTTTGTCTTTGAATAAGACCTACTTGTTGACTGTGTGGGTACAGATCAAATCAGCCTACTACGATAGCGACATCAATAGGTAGGACGTATGTGTGTGTGAACTCGATGTTATGTTTGGATATATAATGATGCATGTGAACCTGTTGAAACCAGCTGGATTAGTCTTGGTTTGTCCATCATCCAAATGATTGATATGTCCTTAGTTACACATCATCCTTAAATTTATAATTTTTTTCATATCAATTAAGTATTAGAAAAAAAATAAAAGTTCAAGGTACATCCAATTTGCTGGAGCCCCATCAGCCTTCACGATCGCCATCGCTATCTCCTCCCACAGGATCGGCTCTCTCAATTACAATCGTTGATTGTGCAAGAAACAAAATAGCACGGTAAGGACGGTAAGGTGAGAACAGAAATGAAAAGAGAGGTGACTAAAAGGTGAGATGGGAGAGTGTTTTCGGAAATATTTTGGATGTTTTTATTTTGTTTGATTAGTTTAAAATGATACATGGATTTAGTAAAAAATTCACCTATAAATTAATTAATGAATTATGCATAAGATGAATGACTTTTGAATGGAGGACTATCTTATGTCGGAAGTAATGATTGTAATCGTTTTTTTGATTTATTTTTTTTAATAAGAAAAGTATGAGGCAATCAAAATAAATATTGGTAGTTCATTAAATGAAATTTAAAAAATATATCCATCCTATGTACCCTAATAAAATTGTTAGTGAATTTATCACATAGTTTTTTTTAAATATATGTATGAATTTGATTTTCTCAAAAAAATTTAAAATTAAAGATATTATAAATAATATTTTATATGACCCTCAGAGTAATAGGTCCTTAGAGATGATAATGATAAAAGGAAAAAGAGAGGAAAGGCAAGGGCGATAGGATGTCATGAACGCAACAAACGATGTTAATTATGATAAGAGAAAAAAAAAATAAAATAAAAAGAAATATGAGGTGAGGGTGATGAGCAACATAGGCAAAGTTAAAAGTAATTTTATCTTTTAAGACATAAAGATACTATGAAAATAAATAAAAAAAGAGAAAACTAAAAATAAAGATTTTCTTAAAATTGCCCTTATTTTTTTATCAGTTGTCGCCAAAAAAAAGAAAAAAAAATGTTAAAACATGAATGTCCAAATTGAGATATGCATAAAGTTGTCCAATTTAGGATGTCTACAATATTTGCCATTGCACTTGCTGTAGACTAGATTAATATTGTTAGTCTCACAGGTACCTATAAATATTTAGATATATAAATTCATATTGTTTTTCTTCAAACTTGTTCGAAAGACCCCTAAATTGCACATTTGGATTCGGATATATAATAAAATTTAACTCATAGTCATCTTTATACATGCATCAGTCTCTCATCAATACATTTCCATATTATACATGCATCATTCTCTCATCAAGACATTTCTGTAATAGATGATGTTCTCATTACTTTACTCTCTTCTATCATCCTTGTTGTTATTATTATTATTATTATTAAACAACTGGAGCCAAAGATTCGAAAGGTTAAATTTGGTGCTCGCCCGCTTAGAAACCGCGTAGAATGCAACGTACGCGTGCTGTAACTCGTTTCTCGCGTCCTCGCTTCCGTCTGCCTATTTGTGGCCGGATTTTTTGACTTCCATGCCCGATTGCGATCCCAACGGCTTTCGATTCCACGAATTCCATGCGAGGTTAATCGAATCCTCATAGGATCTACCGGTGTAGGTGTGTCTTTCTCTTGCTTCGCCAAGTTCCCTCGACTCTGGATCCCGTCGTGTAGAATTCCCCATTTCTTGGAGGTTTAGCTGTTTGAATCGTACATCGGACTGGGAAGTCGATAAAATTAGGGCTCCATATGTGAGGAAGTCTACATTTTGCTGGAAAGGATTGGGTTTTTTGGCCGAGGGGAAGTGCATTTGCGCCGTCGAAGATGATGCTGGCGGAGGGAAGCAGGAGGAATTCTCAACTCTTTTCTGATGATTCGTTGGATGGCGACGTCGCCCGTCCGAGAGAGATCGATGGTATCGCGACGATCCCCGTGTCCTCGTCTTTGTCTCCGTCGTCGCCGCCTGGTTTCTCTCTTGAATCTAATCACATCCAGCATCGCGTCTCTAGGATGGATACTCTTGCTGGTGTTGCGATAAAGTATGGCGTCGAGGTAATTAGAGTTCTGTTTGAATGCTTATATTTGTAGTGATCAAATTTTAACCTCATAATGCAATAATATGTTAAAAAAATTTGAATATCGTGATATATTTTCCTTCATTTTTTGACTAAATTTTGGATTTTGCTTTCGAATAGATTTAATTTAAGCACCATAATTTCTTTTGTATCAGTTCTATCTATGTGCCATTTGTGGTATGAGGTCGATGGATGAATAGGTAGCTAAGGAAAACTAAGAAAAAGAGTAACCAAGTTTTGTATGTGCAGAGCATAAATCTTTGTTCTGTCTATTTAATAATTTTGTTGTGAGAAGTAACAATATTGGTTAAATCATATACAATTTAAAAAGACATATAACTGCCTCTTTTTTTTTCTTTTATCTGATATGTGATAATTTCTGTTCTTCATTAATTAGGTTGCAGACATCAAACGATTAAATGGATTAGTAACGGACCTTCAGATGTTTGCTCACAAGTCATTGCAGATTCCTCTGCCAGGAAGGCATCCACCGTCGCCTTGTCTATCCGATGGTTCTATTGAGAATCGGTATTTCCTTTTGCCTTTGCCTTCAAACCATATTTCTTCTTAGTGGCTACGAGATCCTTTTTTCCCCTGATATGGCATTAAGATATTGCTGATCCTCATGAACTGAGACTTTCAATCACAGATTGCTTTGCATTTTTCATTTTTTTGTAATTGTTGAATGACCTATTTTTTATTGTCCTGTAATATCAAAAACAGATAGTGTTTTTTGCTTGTTACTTTCTCTGTCATCATTGTCCAAATTGTTTTGATTAAATTGAATGATAATAACTGGAAAAATACTTGGTTATTTCTACACTGATCATCTTACATTATCATCATTTTGGAAGTCTTCCATTAGCAGTTGAAGGCTTGCATCCGATTGTAACTTTCATCTAAACATTCCAACCTATCCTAGAATCTTACCAAGTCCTAGATATAGCCAGATCTTTCTGAGGGATAAGTGTTGCCCAAAATCTGGGGACATCTTAAATTTCATGATTTTGATTTGATTTTTATACAAATATCATTGCTCCTGCTCTTTCTGTAATTGACCACTAGCCTATCTTTAACAATCATTTGGATGAATGTTCTTTAGTCGAACGATCAGGTGTTGTTGCTGGGTTTCTTCTAATTGTGATAAATACTACATTGCTCTAACCTTTCTTTAACAATGTTTAAGAATGCCATGTACTGTCATGGAGTATGCTAAGTTTTGGATTCAAGATTGTGTGCTGAGTCTTCCTCTTTTTGGTAAAAGTGTGTATTATGAATGTGGCAAGACTGTCTCTAGCAACAGTCAATTCATTATAGATTGAAGTTGAACAAGTAGCTGCAGCTTTTGTGCTACATCATGTTTGTTCTACACTCATTCCATCGAGATTACCAGTTCTCTTATCATGGTTGTATTTGTTGCAGAGATCAGAGTCCGCCCCATCGACCTTGTAATGACGTTTTAGAATTGATCGAGTCAATCAACATGAGACCTCGTCTGCGTAAAGTTTCTCCTGCCATGAGCAGGTTACAGGGATACTATGGTCTCGGCCACACTAAAAGAAGGCCAGTTCTTGGAGGCGAGGATATGTCACTCTATGGAACAGGAAAATGCTGCTTCGACGATGAACTACTATATAAAAAGTCACCGACTTCTGATCCACCTCCAAGCAGGCACAGGAAGTCTAGGAGTCTGATGAATGGATTCTCACTAGAGAACGGTTATATTGCCGACGAAAAAGCAGTTTTTGAAGCTGGGGAAAACAGTGACATTGAGAGATCTATCAGGAGACGTCAAAAAACTGATACCCCAGAATTGTTTCTCGAGGACAGCAATGGTGGATTCTCAGGGAGGACAGGAAAGGGTATAGCACCAAGACCGAAATCAGGGTACAGGATCGATACGGATGTGGGTCGCTTGAGTGTTCTACCCAATGGGGACTATGTCAAGAACGAAGCTCTTGCTTCTGTGAGGAAGTCATCCAGCACCTCGTGTTTGCAATCGCAGGACTTCGATAACATCTCTTCCATGTGGCCCATGAGCAAGTGGAGTTTGAAATCAGACGTCCTTGCTAGGCCGATATTTGATGGCTTGCCGAAGTCCATGACTGTGAGGAGAAACAAAGCTGCTCGGGATTAGCCATCCATGGCTCATGTTTAGCTCTACGTCTTGGTGTACACAATTTATGGAGATTCTGATGGGTACCGCACACGAGGCCTTCAATTGTGCAAGACAAAAACTGGCTGCATTCTTTTAGGGCAACTGACCACTGTTTCTGCAGAGCCTGTGTAGAAGGATTCGTTTGTATAAATGCAGTTGTTTGATTGAAGAGGGAAGGAACATCAATTGTTGTACGAATCTTTTAATTTGCATTCATATAAAATTAGCTCCTCATCTGAGTTGCAACTCTTATTCCCTGTTGGACCGTTTCAGCTTTAAGCACTTTTACTGTACTGTATAAAAATGGTATGCTTCCATGCCTTGCTCTCTCTCTCTCTCTCTCTCAGAAAGAATACAAAATCTATCATGCCTTGCTCTGGTGGATCAACGCATGGTACCGCCCATTCTTCCCTAGCAGTACCAAGTCTTCCACCAGGGCTGGCCACCATAGCGCGGCAGAAAGTATAAGCAAGAGCACAAGCAAATGATAGCAGTTGCACGACCGGAGAATACCGTCACTGCCAGTGTCGCCGCCACCACCCATGTTCCAACAGAAGGCATGAGCCTGTCGGACCGGACCTGATTACGGGAAGAGGAGGAAGGGACGGACAGGGATGATCTTGGTCCGCTACTCCTCGCCTCACTTTGAACTGGAGTCTGGTGCGGATTTGGTGGAAGTGGATCTCGGCGAGCATCGATCTCAGTTGAGATCTGCGTGACACTGTTGCCTGGCCGGACCTGGTCCTCTGGGACTGCTTCTTGTTGCTGATTCTCTAAATCGATTTCGTTACCATTGTTACAGCCCTGGACTCACAATTTTCATGAACCAGTCTCATTAGATCCTGCAGTATGGTTATTTTTGTGGTGAAACAAGTCCTATGTGCTGTTCCTTGTAAATGTATGTGCACCTGTGATTATTGATCATGGCATTATAAAGCATCACCGTGGATTTTATGCATCAGTTTGATAAACATGGATATGGTTCTGAAACACGTAAGACGGACCCCACAAGATCCTACAAATTACAACTCACGGCTCAAATGGACCCACATGATAAAGACACCCGAGCATGTCTGGGGGACGACAGCTAACTCCGCGCGCGGTTAGGTGACGCAGGCCACCTACGGAAAACAAGAAACCTCGTCTTCTAGGAAGATGATGGTGCGAAATTTATCCGTAGAGGTGACCACGTCATCCTTTTTTTTTCCGACAAGAATATCTAATTAAGAAGTTTGCCTTAAGATTCGCACACGGGAAGGATGGACATAGACTTAAGCTCGTAGTGATTGGGTGTGACTTTACCTGTTTATTATACCCATTCTTTTCCTACCTGTTTAAGATATAGCCACTCACCTCCCTGCCTTCTGATTGGAGCTAAACATGATTCTGGTGTGACATTTATGTTTGAGGAAACAACATTAGGACTTGAGGATTGTGACAAATCCCTCGACTGTAACATTAAAGTGCATGACAAAACATTTCGTTTGAGTCGCGAACGTCTCGGATTCACGGAAAAGTTGTAGAGGGGGTGCGATCGTGTCAGGGATGTAATCAGAAGAGATATGATGCATGAACCAAAGCTAACGAAACAGGACGCAAACGAAAGCAATATAGGCACGGTTCCGTCTCTCTTACCTTATCAGGTAATGACCTCCCTTGAGCTGATGGCGTCGCATTGGAGGGAACCGCCTTCCTCTTCTTATGCTTCCTTTGGAACCAGGAGAACCGCCATGAGAGCTTGCGCTTGGAGACCGGCCGCTCTGGCTTCGACTGCTCCGGAGAACCCAAGAAGCAGGCGAAGCAGAAATACGATCTCTTCTTCCCCTTTCGGACCTTGAGGGAGCTGTTCTTGTTGATGGACATAGTTGTATGGGTAGAACGCGGAGCTGGAGAGAGGGCAAAGATATAGTTTCAGTTGTAGACCTGAGTTTCTTGTTTGATAAGCTTCACCAACATGGCTAAAGAATAATGGCGAAATACGGAATTGGTACATTTTGAAAAGCGTCAAGTTGTTCCTTCATCAAAGTCTATATATAAAAAAGGCTAAAGCTGACGAGCTTTGCCTGTGATGACGTCCGGGCTAATAGAAGAATTCGCTCACCATGGACTTAAACGACAAAGGGTGCTGTTACATACGTTCGAGGGATGGCTTGTGAACGACAGAGATCTATTCTTCTATTGTGCCACGTTATAATTTTATTGGTCGATAAAGACATTGGGAAATGTTGATTTTGATCCTCGTTCGTCCACGTTATAATCGATCATGATCACCTGATCAGAACAGGAGAGAGACTCCTTAAATTGAGAAAACAGAGGATGATTTGGAGCACATTAATAGTTCATCGCTCGATCCCATTCTATCTAAAACTTATAGTGCACGGAGAGAGCTAAGAAGTAAATTTTTATGGAAACATTGCATACTCTTAGTTGATTAATTGTAGTTCTCTTTTTTCTTGGAAAAGTAGAAGATCGCAAAACATGTTGGGATGCAAGAATGGTGTTTTACTTGTAAATTGTGAGTATAAACAATAAGGGAAATTTGAGGATATACGAGCCTACACAATTGGCTTGGATGTCCTCTGATGACTTTTCTGGTGTTCTTGGCGCTGCCAATAGCGAGGATATCTTCCCTCCCGTGTGTTGTGTACAAGGAAAAAGAGACGTCTCGAAAGAGTTGGCAGTTTGGTTCAAGCTGTTCTGACATGGTCCTCCGGCATGTACTTCTTCCAAAACCAGTGCTTCTTCCACACTAAAGCCATCTCTTCGATGGGCACGCCCTTGGTTTCTGGCACCAGGAAGATGACGAACAACGTCATCACCAGCACGAAGGCCGCGAACAGGTAGAAGAGCCCGGCCTTGAGGTGGCAGAGCGCCATGAGGAAGAGCTGAGCGATGATGAAGGTGAAGAAGAAGTTGACGCCGACCACGATCGCCTGCCCCGCCGACCGGATGTCCATCGGGAAGATCTCGCTGGGCACTAGCCACCCAAGCGGCCCCCATGACCACGCGAACGCCGCGACATAGATGCAGATGAGTGCCAGCACCAGGTTGGCCATAGCAGGCGAGAGCTTCCCTGTTCCGGCCGAACCGAAGAATGTCCCCAGGATGGCCCCGACAGCCACCTGGCTCACCAGCATCTGCACTCCGCCCTCGAAGAAGAGGATCCTGCGGCCGAACTTGTCGACGGTCCCGATGGATACGGTGGTAGCGAGGACGTTGACGAGGCCGGAGATGACAGCGGACATGAGAGACGCGCTGTTCCCGAAGCCGATGGTCTTGAAGAGCACCGGCGCGTAGAACATGATTACGTTGATGCCGGTGAGCTGCTGGAACGCTGGGATGGCGATGGCCATGATGAGGTGGGGGCGGTGCTCCCGGCGGAGGATGCTCTGCCAGGGGTGGCGCACCTGCTTCGACGCCTCGCTCGCCTCGATCATGTCGTGCAGCTCCACGTCGACGTCCTCGGTGCCCCGGATCTTCTGGAGCGTGGCCTTGGCCTCGGCGCGCAGGCCGCGCTCGACGAGGGAGTTCGGGGTGTCAGGGAGGACGATGGCGCCAACGGTCATGACGAGGGCTGGCACCGCAGCGAGGGCCACCGAGATGCGCCACCCGTATCCGCCCTTGAGCTTAGCCGTGCCATAGTTCACGAGGCTGGCTACGAGGATGCCGATGGTGGTGGCCATCTGGAATCCCATATTCAGCGCTCCTCGGAGCTGCGCCGGGGCCATCTCGGACAGGTAGAGCGGGACGGCCTGGTTGGCGAACCCCACGCCAACGCCGAGCAGGAGGCGGCCAATGATTAGCATGGCTACGTTCATGGAGATGCCGTTGATTGCGGAGCCAACGAGGAAGGCTGCTCCTCCAAACAGCATGGAGGTCTTCCGGCCGAAGGTCCGGGTCACCGTGGACGCGAAATACGTGGAGATGAGCCCCGCGATGTAGAGGGATGACGTAAAGGCCGTCAGCAGAGCGCTGTCGAATTGGCACCACTGATTCGTGCCAGCGGCGTTCTTCTCGTCCCTCAACACCGATGGGAAGAACTTCTGGAGGAACTCATCCATGGAAGTCACACCCCCTCCACGACACAACACAACACATTAGCCATTTCTCAGTTAATAGTCAAATAGGCATTTGGGCGTCGATCAATCACCAGAAACGCCGATGTCGTATCCGAAGATGAGACCACCAGAGGCTGCTATCACGCAAGTGACGATCACGAAGACCGTCACATGCCCATTGTAGTGCTTCACCTCACCATCAGGCGTCGGTGCTAATCCTCCACCGGCCATCTCGACACCGAGCAAGCAAGTTTTCCGTTTCTATGGTGATGGAAGCAAAGGTAAACGTTTTCCACTTCCCTTGGAGCTCCCACGGTTGCAAGGATAATACAGGTGGTCCTTTCCTTTTATATCTCCTCTTACCTCCATTTTTGGTCTCCAAGAACATCAACAGCCTATGATGGGCCATGAAATCCCTAGCCACTCCCACTTTCGTCAACGGATAGGAGGAATTATCTCTGGTCTTATCCGGATAAGGGCTCACCCCGTTGACTTCCAGCTTGCCAACCAGAGCATGTACTCTGTCGTGTTCCCCCTGTACCTCGCCCGAACCTTGCCTATGCATCCTTGTGTTGCCTTCATCGACGCTTGCATCTTGTATCAGAAACCAGCCGACACAAGTTGCTATGAATGCAAACATACTCTCTTCCAGCATAACATCATGACACCACATTTGGGTCATGCAATCCTGACAACTTATTTATGGCCAAACCAATATGCAGTAATCAGATAAATTCGGTCCCACAAAAAAGTCAATATTGACCAGAGGAAGCAATATTGATCCTTCACCCGAGTTTTTGGCTGGGATGGCTGATACCAATCTGTTATGGGCTGCTTTCAACTGAGTTCCAGCCAGACGAACTGGTAGAAACTGGAAATCTCATTAATTTGGTCAACTGGAAATCCCATCCATTGGCCCTGTTTCATCCAACACCTAATTGATCCACACTGCAAGTAACTTTTTAAGTATGTCGCGCATCCTATTCTAAGACAATCAACTAACTAAACCGAAATAACGTAAATATTATTGAGCCGCAAAATCCAGATTGTAAATCATATTCAGCAAAGAAACTAAGTTTGCTACTTCTACATGTTCAGTAAACATACAAGGAAGAAAAAGCAATTCAATGTTTGTGTGTGCATTATGTTCAGAACAATATGCAGTCACAATCATCGGGGCAGCTCATATCGACAGAGCGGGCAGGAGTTGTGGTAGTCGAGCCACCGGAGAATGCACCGGTCGTGGAACATGTGCTTGCAGGGCATCTGCTTCACCACCTCGCCTGCGTCGAACGACTCCATGCAAACCGAGCAATCGACCGGATCGTCCCCCGGAGCTGCTACGGAGATCTTGACGTCCGGTAGGGCCTCCACGGCGGCCCTCGAAGCTGGCTGGGTGCCGGAGCTGGAAGCAGAGACGTCGATTGGTTCCTCATACCATTGTTCGAATTCTTGCTCTAACTCATCAAGAGACACCACTCCGGCGTTGAGGAACCCCGCGGAGGGCAAGCCGATGATGGAGGAAGGGAACATGTCAACATCGTCGAAAGGCGCAGGGTCTGGATCATCATCGTCACTGGATGAGGGTTGCTCGTCGCCGAAAATGACCACTCCAGGGTTTGGGTTAGCGAGGACGACGCTTCTGCCGCAGTGGAAGCACCAGATGATGTCGCCGCCATTTACGGCGTTGGCGAGATTGAAGGGAAAAGTGCAGCCGCACTGGCAGCAAAAAAATATATTAGCAGCGGAAGACATGTCTTTCCCGGCGACGAGACAAAGCGACGTTGAGACCAAGAACAGAACTCCCTGCTACGAACTCTATAAACCTCTGCACATCAACGAAAAGGCTGTTGGACTGTGGTTCGGATAGGATGACATCCACAATTACTTGGGTCAGAATTTTATTCGAAATAAATTCTGATTTTTTTTTTCTTCCAAGACAACAAAAAAACCTGTATTACTAAAAATGGTAAAGAGCTCAAGCCATGCAACTGCTGCTTCCAAAAACAAGAAACCTATTAACCCTAGCAAAATTAATCAACCATAAAGGTTTTGCAACAAAGCCATAATGCGTATGGTGTGGTTAATAAGCTTCCAAGATGGCTGAGAATTTGTGTTCAAAATTCTGACCACCAACTCTGCATCTGACTCGATCACCAACTTAGCGCAACCTTCCTTCACAGCCTATTCACCATGCCTTCTTTAACAACCTGCGAAAAGAGAAGTCCACAAGCATGCTGCTCAAAAGAACGATCTTGTAGCACACCAACTATCTTCCCTCAGACTCGCAACCAAAGTTACAGCTCATCACCCAGTGTGCCACACCCATAGGAGAAGAATTTTCTTCTTTGGAAGTCAATCGTATTATTACGGACCTTTCAGATCAACCTGAAAAGAAAGTATGGCATCCCCTGATTGCCCTTTTTTTGCATTCCTATCTTGCTAACGCGGTGGATGTTCGGGACTGGTGATAACGTTTATGGCAGCTCCAAATTCTACTTAGAACTAAGGTGTTTTGTTGGAAGCTACTACGTATCGTCGCTTAGCTTTAATAGGCATCAATGTGCAGTGCATCTGTAGTTTCTATCGTGGGTTGCAAGCAATCGTTGCTTGCTTTTTCTTTTTGTGCGACGGCTTGCAGATTGAGGAGGATTCCTATCCTATAGTTTCCTCTACTGTTTTGATCCGATTATGTGACTGCCACTATACTTTGGGTGTTCTTGGATGCTCGAAATGATGACATCTTTCATGCTAAGTCACCAAAAGTCATTATCCTATTACACTTAAATCATATTGTATTTGCACTTACTATTAGACCTTCAGTGTCCGAAGAGGACCCTCCCATTCAACCGAACCATATTCTATTGTGGATTGGGTCAAAATCAAGGAGCTTTAGACCACAACTTAATGGTCGTAATAGTTTGTTGCCCGTAAGACTGATGTTTCGTATATTGTTTTTGGATGCATTATGCTCTGCCTTCAACTGAGTTCCAGTGAGAAGTGGTGGTGAAAACTGGAAATTTCATTAATTTGGTGAATTAAATCCGACACCAATAGACGAAGTGGGAAACAAAGATCAATTAGATCAACCGAAATAACGTAAATATTATATATTGAGCCGTAAAATCCAGATTGTAAATCATATAAGTTTGCTACTTTCACCTATCATCGCCGTCTAAATCGCAAATCTACAAGGAAATAGGAAACCTATTCGATATTTGTGTGTATATTTTGTCCAGAAGAATATGTAGTCGGAATAGTCAGGGCAGCTCAGATCGGCAGAGCGGGCAGGAGTTATGGCTGTCGAGCCACCGGAGAATGCACTTCTTGTGGAACATGTGCTTGCAGGGCAACTGCGTCACCACCGCGCTGGCGTCGAACGAGTCCATGCAAATCGTGCACTCGATCGGATCGGTCCCCGGGGCCGCTTTTTTGATATTGATGTCCGGTAGGGCCTCCACGGCGGCCATCCATGCTGGCTGGGTGCCGCGCCTGGAAGGAGCGAGGTTCAGTGATCGCCTAGACCATCGTTCGAGTTGTTGCTCTATGAACATCGCGTTAAAGTAGAAGTCCGTGACAGACGAGCTAAAAGGGGGCACGATAAGCTCGTCGAAAGGCACAGAGTCTGCATCATGGTCAGAAAGGTGGGAGGGCGAGGGTTGCTGGGCGTCGAGAGAGCCCAAGTCAGAGTTAGGGTTCTCGAGGTTTGGGAAGTTGGATGCCTGAGCGACGCTCCCGCCGCAGTGGACGCAGCAGACGACGCCATGATCTCCGGCGTCGGCGGGGTCGAAGGTGAAAGTGTGGTCGCACTGGGAGCAAAAGTATAAATTCGAAGCGGCGGCACCGCCGGTGGCTCCAGCGGACGACATGTCTTTCCCGGCGACGATACCAACGTTGAGAGCAATAAAAGAGCTCCCGACTACAGACTCTCTCTCTGGACGCTTTTGAAGCCCACATGTCTCCGTATATAGATATATATGCACACAGGCTGTTGAAGTCCAACTTCGATCAGGATTCTGATACGACTCCTGTTTCGACTGGTACTCTGATGTATGTGCCTATATCTTGTTAGAATGATTTAAAATTACTTTGTCAGAATCTTATTCGAAATTACTTTCAATTAGATTTTACTATGAAGTTTATGTTATGATGCTTATATTATAATTCATTTTTGTCAAAGAAATAAAAGAAGATGTGTCTACTATCTACAAGAATCATTAATGAACAATAAAACACATCTTATTATTGGTCTCAATCTCCATCACAAATGAAACTATAGATCAGCAAGTTCGACAAATATAAGCAATCGAAATCGCAGACAGTAAAGCAGGAGCTGACAGGCTTTCACCATTACTTCTGAGAACATCCTATTGATGTTCCCGAGTCAGAAAGCAGACCTCTCCACCATCGAGGACTTCATGTGCATTGCTCGCGCATGTCCGCGACAAGCGGAGACGTATCCGTGTGACCGTCCGTCGTTTCATTTCCATTTGTACTTCGTCTAAGGTACTCATTGTACTAAGCAATCCTTCTCTACGGGTCCTTGTTGAATTGCATGAGACTAAAGTGAAACCGACTCTTGCGAGTAACTCTTATTTTGGTATCGCATGTTTAGGCAATCCCCGTTAAAGATCTGCGGCCAATCTCTCCCAGAACTGATACAAATAACGTGTTTTTAGTGCAAGGCTTTTTCGAACACAGGGTTTGAGTAGGATTAATATAGGCAACCAAAAACCGACATCAGGTATCCATGAAAGAAGCAAAGAGGGCACTGCTGCTTGCAACTCCTGATGTAGAATATATGTGGAGACATCCGAAGCTATAAAGTCATGTCATTAGATGTGTAAGCAACAGCATATGATATTTATAAATGCCAGCATTTGCTTTCCAAAAGCCCAGTTGTGAAGCCAGCAAATAAAGGCACAGAGGTTGGGTGTTCAATCCAACAGTAGAGAGGTAGGTGAGGTGGACACAAATTAAAGATGTCCACCTCCATCATATCAGCACGCCTACTTTATTAGATTAACAAAGTGCCATTACAAGAAGTTGAGCCCAGCCATGACGTACAGGGATCAATCACAGATGTTATATTCCTTCCTTTATATGATTGCAGCTGTAGATTATTCTTCTCCCATGTTTGTCAAACAAATAGGCTGCGTTTCACATGCATGACAGTGAACGCTGAAGCAGATGTGAGTCAATTCCACGACCGCAACGAGTACCTGCGGAAGCTTCCCAGCCACAATCTTTATGGGCATGCATATGCTGCAGTTTTGCTGAAGGAATCAGCATGTTTACATTGTAAGCTTTACAAGATTCAGCTGCCTCTGCTTTCTAAAGTTGAAGGCTATCTGAATCCGTGAAAGCAGATTAATGATATCAAATTCTGCAAATAGAATATAAGCAACATTGTTTCTTTAAATGCGATATCAATCCATCAAATAGCTTAAACTTTTGGTCATACAAATTGACAATAATGCAGAGCAAGAAGGTAAGTGATGGGGCATGTCGAACTGCATAGAGCTCTGTTGATGATGCTCGGGCCACTCTGACTTCATCACAGAATCTGAAACCGGGTAGAGATGAATTATTCCTAGTGTAAAATGGATTTAGGTTTAGATTCTGCAAGTTGTTCAACGACCAACTCTGCTGCATAATGTTCTACAAGAAATTCCCCAAAAAATGCATAAAGCAAGATTAAATTGCGCATGGATAGAAGATTGCAGATGTATCTATCCAAACTATACAGTAGGTAAGATGACAGAATGCAGGAAGAACAACTAGAGTTTATTTGCACTCGCACATCTCAAACAATCCAGAATTACAGACGCAGAAACCACGTTATTGTCACACAGGCAAAATCCAAGAAAAAACAGAGAAAAGACTCGTAGAGTACACATGGAGCTTTGACAGTGGAGAACTTACGGAACTGAAAACAGAGGCTTCCATGCAATCGGATTCTCTCGGGTTCTCCCAGCCATGCTGATACAAACATGTCACCTATCTAGAATCACAAACCTTACAGCTCCCAGGCCTTGATCATCATAGCACATTGGACTTCTTGATTTCCAATGCACATCTTCACGGTGCTTCTTCACAGGATTTCAACTTCAGCAGTGTCTACATTTGACTTGATTCCTCCGTCACGAAGCACTCGAGACCAGACAACCATGGAATCCGAACTGAGACTAATCAACAAGAAAGGGGGGTAACGAGAGAACCAATCGAACTCTACTCTAATGCCAATCCAAACTCCACAAACCTAATCTTTTCTAATTCGATAGGAGGTGGGAACACTAATCAGCTAAAGCTAAAAATACCGAAGCTATCAGCGGGTTTCGTCTTCCGCCTGAGCGGCTGCCGCAGCGGAGGTGGCACCAGGTGGTCCTGACAGCGAGGCCAGCAGGTTGAGGTGCCCAGCTAGGGGGAGGTAATTCCCTACTCTTGCAGCGGATGCTTCCCCCATAGGCTGCCCGGCGAACGTCCCGGTGAAGGCGGCATGCTGCGACGCCACCATCTCCGGCGCGGCAAAGCTCCAGACCTGCCCGAAGTCCGCCCGGGCGGGCAAGGCCCAGAACCCGGTCGCTGGCCCGATTCCGATCGTCGCCCCACCTCCGGCAGCAATGAAGCGGTCGTACTTGGCGGAGTCGTCTGCGGCGTCGGCCCGGAGGCGCTTGCCGAGGATGAAGGGCGCCGGAGAGGAGGTGGGCTTCGAGGAGGTGGCGACGGAGGGCGAGGTGGTGGAAAAGGAGGCCGGGATGGTACCGGAACCAGTGGCAGCGATGATGGAGGGCTCGGCCTGGCGGAGAAGCCACTCGATGGTCTGGCCGTCGGACTTGTGACCGAGCTCGCGAGTGAGCTGGAAAACCCGGGCGGCGCAGATGATGGGCATGCGGATGCGCCGCCCTCGCCCGTCCACCTTACTGTGCCGGTCCTTGGGTGGCGCCTTCTTCACGGCCACGGTCCCGCCGCTGCTTCCTCCTCCTCCCCCCACCACCACCCCCGCCGTTATCTGCCTCTTCTGCTGGTGCACTGGCGCGGGCCCGCCGTTCATGGCGCGGTCAGCGGTGCTCATGGCCCCCGCGCGAGAGAAATTGAATAGAAAATAGAACTAGAAAAGGAGAAGGGATGTGGGGTGTTCAGAGAGAGATGACCCAAGTCTAATGATTGAGAGAGAGAGGGAGAGAGAGAGAGAGAGAGAGAAAGAGGCGGGCGGAGAAGAGGGGACGACGCAGAGAGTGCGGGTGGAGACAAAGAGGGAAAGAGCACATGGGCCGATGGGACCCTCTTGATCACCGGTCTTCCCCGGCCAGGATCACGATGCAAGACACCTACGTGTCATCTTTGCAATGCGTACTATAGCGGATCGATCATCTCACAGTTTGACATCCACGGTATCGTCCAACCGGAGGCGACATTTTTGTGTCTCCTGCCTCGGACGATATAGCCCGAACTTGATTTCCCTCATCTCGTCCCCATGAGCTGTCGCCACGATTTTTGAGGCAGTACGGCTGTTCTGGGCATTTACTCATACACTTCACTACTACTTGGCCTGCTGTAATTGGCAGGCGGCAAAGCGAAATCCATCTTTGCTTTCACCTTGTCCAGCAATAGAGGAGTTGCAAATGGATAATGACGACGATGCCACCGAACGACCTTCCGACGACCTCGTGCGCAGTATGGCCGTGCTGCCGTAGGGGGGCAGCACAGTCGGGTATCCCATCAAAGGCACCAAACATGCAAAATAGCTCTCTCATTGGTTACCAGATAGGAACTGTTGGAATACACGACCGACAACCCAATTGGAGAACGCCCTTCTGTGCTCGGTCTCTGGTTCGATGAACAGCGACCGCGGCGAGCCGGAGTCATAGGCGGTCAAACAAGGTGGGCTCGAAGTCTCTAACTTTGACGCAGACGGAAGGGTTCGACTTTGTCTTCACTAAGCTGCCACTCTGGTTGCTCGCAATGGGCGAGTCAGTCGGGGGTTTGACAACGGTTGCGACCATTAGCGTGCAGTTGAAGGTCAAACTTGGTGGCTCGATAGTGACCAGGATTACGATCGAGTCCACTAATTAAACATGACAATTAGCAACATAAATATCACCGTAAAACACTACTATTTTGACAGTAGAAGTGTTTGTTGTTAAAGACTATTTTTATTTTATGACAATATTAATATTATTAAACATATTAGTCATTCATAAATATTTGTCCCAGATTAATTCATAACTTTATTTAGTACACGCATAAAGAAGCCTGCCATTATGTTCCCTCCTATCTTCCCACCGTGCCAGTACTTAGATCACGGTGGATTTGTCGGATGACATCCCAAAAGAAGGTGAAGGTAGATAATCTTAACGAAGACTTGCTGTGGGAGGAGATATGGGACTCATAAAGATAATTATCGCATCTCTTCATCGATATTAATCCTACACTTTTCCATGAATACCATACTGGTCCTTCTTTTCCTTATGCATTTCATGAATCTTAGAGCTTAGGGTGTGTTAGCTTCACTTTATTAGGTCAGCGTTGCACTAGCTTGAGTAGCGAATTAACAGAAACAATATTAAAAATATATTACTAGAAAGGATTCTAATAACTAATCTTATAATAAAGGACGAGATAAATCAATTAGGAGAATTGCCTTTAAGATATTATTTATTGATTATTCCATAAGCTTAAAAGGAGATTAATGTGAAATAAGCTAACAGAAGAGACTACTTTCAAAGAACATAAAATTGTTCACTTATCATTTTTATATTTCTTTTGTCCCACATTGCTAGTTAACTAATTTTCAAGACTTCAAACTGGTATAAATAAAATCCCCTTCTAAATCTATAAAATTATTAAGAAATAATATTTTCAAGTATTATAAAGATCTTCTCTGTTATAAAGATTTGATTTCTCTCGTCCTTCATTATAAATTCAGTCAAATAACAAATTGATCTCATAAGGAAGGACGATAGAAATCAAATTTTTATAATGGAGAAGACCTTTATAATATTTGAAGATATTGTTCTTTGATAATTTTATAAGTTTAGAGGTTATTGATACTAGTTTTAGGTATTTAAAACAAGTTAACTAATAATTTGGGATAAAAAAATATAAAATTGATAAGTAAACAACTTTAAACTATTTGAAAATAAT